GTAATGTGAGTGAGCAGGGAAAGCAGGCGTCCCTGCAGTTGACCTGCCACCAAGGGAGTGTGGGTGAATGATCAAGGCAGGTGTCCCCGTGGAGATCAGACACCAGTGGAATGTGGGTGAATGATCAAGGCAGGCGTCCCCGCTATGATCAGACACCAAGGGAAGACTGTCTTCCCAAATCCATGACCGACATCAGAGTTTTTGAGTTCATGGATGAAATGTGTCTCCTTTGTCTCTACTAGAGAGGAAAAAGAACTGGAATTGGAAGGATAGGGAGATTGAAGGGTAGCAAGAGAAGCTGGAGAAGAGAGTGAAGAAGACAGCTTACCCAATTTGAAATTGGTGAGATGTTCCTTGGGCTGGTCTCAGGACCTGAGGTCATAAGTGGATCTCCTCATTGAGGGAGGGTGAGGACAGGGGGACAGTCTCCCAAAGGAGCTCTCGACACGGGTTTTTCGGCATCAAATGTTATGCACGTCAGTGTGAAGAGACCACCTAACCAGGCTTTGTATGAGCAATAAGGCTGTTTATTTTCACTTGGGTACAAGTGGGCTGAGTCCAAAAAGAGAATTAGCAAAGGGAGATGGGGTGGGGTAGTTTTACAGGATTTGGGTAGGTAGTGGAAAATTACAGTTAAAGGTGGTTATCTCTTGTGGGCAGGGGTGGGGGTCACAAGGTGCTCAGTGGGGAGCTCCTGAGACTCACTGTCCAGGACAGGACTGTCACAAGGTTGATTCATTAGTTAGGGTGGGGCAGGAACAAATCACAATGGTGGAATGTTATCAGTTAAGGCAGGAACTGACTGCTTGAATTCTTTTGTGATTTTTCAGTTGCTCCAGGCCATCTGGATGTATACGTGCAGGTCACAGGGGTTATGATGGCTTAGCTTGGGCTCAGAGGCCTGACAGTGAGACCCCCATCTCTAACAAAAATAATTAGCCAGGTGCAGTGGCATACATCTGTGGTCCCAGCTACTGGGGTGGTTGAGGTAGGAGGATTGCTTGAGCTCAGGAAGTGGAGGCTGCAGTGAGCTGTGATCACACTACTGCACTCCAGCCTGGGCAAGAGGGAGACCTTATCTCAGAAAATCAAACAACAAACAATGATGCACCATAGTCTTATTGTGGCAATCCAGAGAGAGGGTGGGGAGGTGAGCAGAAATGACAGAATAGGAAGCTACTGACATGTCTTAATGTAACTCCTCACTAAGATTCTCAATCTCTTGCAAGGATTCTAAACTTATCAAAAGAGCTGAGTTCTGTGACAGGACTAATGGGGACAAAATAGAAAAGGTTTATACAGATCACAGGAATCTCAGGCAAGAGACTATGAGGTCATAAACCCCAGGAATCTGCAGAAATGGTGTGGAAGGTTGGAAATTTCCCATTCTGTGGAATTAGCAATGCTCTGAGGCAATCATACAGAACTCTCTGTGGCTCAGGAGGGTCCTAATTGGCACCTGGTTTCCACACTAAGCATGTTTCCAAATCACTCATCCCTCTTTAGTTTATCCTCCACACTAGCCCAAGTGCTTTTCCTAAATAAATGATGAATGTTATCATGTCATTCCCAAGCTTTAAAATTCCTTATTGTACACAGTCCAAAATTTCTTAACCTGGCATCCAACACAAGGGCCTCCTCTCCTCCTCACACAGGGCACACTATCAAACATTTCATTATTTCCTAAAACACTAAGCCTTCCCTTCCACCTGAAATAACCTTTCCCTTTCCTCTCTTTTCTCTGCTATAAACGACTATTCATTCAGACCAAATTCAATCATCCTTTCAGATGAAAGGAGTGCAGTGGCGCCACTTCAGCTCACTGCAAGCTTCGCCTCCCGGGTTCACACCATTCTCCTGCCTCAACCTCCCCAGTAGCTGGGACTACAGGTGCCTGCCACCACACCTGGCTAACTTTTCATATTTTTAGTAGAGACGGGGTTTCACCGTATTAGCCAGGATGGTCTCGATCTCCTAACTTTATGATCTGCCCGCCTCGGCTTCCCAAGTGCTGGGATTACAGGAGTGAGCCACCGTGCCCAGCCAGGAAGGACTATGTCTTACCCACTTCTGGGCCCCACTGTCCAGTACAGGCCAGGTTAAGGTACTCCCCCGGCTTCTACAGCATCCTGGGTACGACTGTAATGACACCTATCATCCTGCATTGCAACTCTGGATTTGTGTGGCAATCTCCTGCACTAGAAATCAGGGGCCACATTGTCTTCAGTGTCAGTATTACAAGTGACTAAGAGGGAAGTAGGAAAAGAGGGAGAGGAAGAGAAGAAAGAATAGATGGAGTGAGGGAGAAAGGGAAAAAATAAGGGCAATGAAGGAGAAAATAAAGTTTAAAAGGAAGTTAGACAGTGAATAAATGGACTAGTCAGGACTCAAAAGCATTGACTCACACAAAAAAATCTTAGCATATAAGTTATGGTCAAAAAAGGGCAAGTGAGCTGGGCACAGTGGCTCACATCTGTAATCCCAGCACTTTGGGAGGCTGAGGCAAGTGGATCACCTGAGGTCAGGACCAGCCTGGCCAACATGGCAAAAC